GAAAGGTCACTGAGCTAGGAGGTAATGGAGCAGGAATGTAAATCCAGGTGTGGCAGCTTCTAGAACCAGCATTCGTTACTGTTGCATACTCTACTTTTGACCACCGTGTACTAAACCACTCTAGGTCATCACTGCATACTTAATGGCTGCCAATTTCCTGCTGCTTGTGTAACTGCGGTCTATTTACTTAACCACTATCCCGGCCCCTCCAGCCCCACTGGGACAGCACACCTAGGCACACGGGTACAGGAGGAAGAAAAAGGCAGAGGAAATGCAGACCTACCTCAATAAAGGTGTTTGGGATCTATGTAAGGGGTTAATTTTCGCCTTCTCACAGACCTCAAATCTAGCCAAATTCAAGGTCTTTCTCCATTTTATTCCATCACTCAACGTAGGAGTGTAAGACAGTGGTTCCCAAACCTGCTTCCCTGGGAACCCTGGCATTGCAGAAAGCAGTGAGAATAATTGTCTGAAAAAATGAGATCTCTATTTTATAAGACACAGTTTTAAGTGTTTTTTTTTTTTTCCTTAAGTATTTCTCCCTTAAATTTTTTTTTTTTTCCTCTCAAATTCCTGGCAACAGTTACCCTGGGCAGTGTTTATATGAAACAAGAAAATTTAACAAGAGGCTAAATTATTTCATCCATTCATCCCTCATTTGGTCACCCAACAAGTATTTTGGTAGGCTCTTACTCTGTGTCGAGCGCTTGTTGCCGGAAACATTTGGATGTGGTCTACCATATTTACATAAGCAGCCTGTTTGCTTCCTGGATGGGTTTGCTGTGCTTTATGCTTTATAACATGTGAGTGTATTCAAGTAGCTAGGTACTTAATCCCTGTGGTATTTTATCTTAACCTGCTTAAAGTGACTCCCTTAAAAATATTCTACATATAACTAGATGATTTTCATTTATTGCAATGCAGAGGCCTTCCCATGTAGTCTAAGCACTTGGGGATTTTTTTCCACTAACCATAATGATCCACATTCTTAGAATGGAATTCAATATGACCACGTTGCACGATGGTCTTGAAAGAGCTGGGCGATTTCCAAAAGAATGTGCACATAACCAGGGTTGGGAAGGCAGTTGGTTGTGTGGGAAAGCCCTCAGGATGGGACTCACACAGGCCTTCACTCAAATCCTGGCTCAGATGCTTCCTAACTGTGCAGCTTTGGGCAAGCCAATTCAGGATTCTGCGCCTTATGTACCTTCACCTGTAAAATGAGACCCTAAAAATCATACCACCCTCCAAGTGTTTTTGTGAGTATAAAGGTAATATCAAACATTTGGCATATAATAAGCGAATAAACAGTAGTGGTGTTATCACTAATAATGGCGATGGTATTCTTATTAATATTACATTTTCCCAGTCAAGTTCAACTGGGTGGGCATGTTTCAATTCCCAAGCAATTTTTTATCCCGAACCCATCTCCTTTTGCCATGGGATAGTGTTTTAAAAAAAAGCCCTGGAGCCTGCCCCAATTATAAAAGGAGATAAGTTGACTTCATTTAACTGCAGCCCGAGCATTTGAATTTAATTGAATGGGAAATAATTATTCCTGACGAGCAGAGGTTTTTGAGGTTCTATGAAGCGATATAAGATATGTATCTCATTACATTAAACCTCAGCAAATATACTTTAAATAATCAGCTCCTACTTAACATAACTTCCTCCTCCTATTAAATTTCCAGCAGGAACTATGGACATGAAGTATTGGGAAAAGAGGGGGGCTGAACTGCCGATTAATTATTTAAAAAGTGATTTATTTACCAAGGTGAGCCATTTGCAAATTCAATAAATCTATTAAGGAGCAGTTAACCTCTATAACTCTGTTTTAAATAATCAATTGGTGTTTGGGTAACGGGGGAGCGTCTGTCTCATTAGGTCGGTATTAACACCTTATTTGAGGCACTTAATCTGAAGTATGACCAAATCAGCCACAAGGTGGTAATCAGGTATTCGCCATGGGTCCTTCAGCCTCCAAGGAACTGGGTCCTTCTTCCCTGGCTGCAACAGCCCTGGTTGGGGGGCTTGGGGCATTCTGGGTCCTCTAATACCCAACTCCGTGCTCCCAACAGTGCCTCCCGAGACAAAGACTTGACGCCACCACCTTCCTCCAGGGGGAAGAAGAAAAAGAAGAAATCCACCCGGAAGAAGAGAAGGAGGTGAGCGTCCTAAAGGAGCATGGAAACTTGAAGATGGGAGAAAGAACAAAATAGGGGTCAAATGGGTTTCAGAGTCAAACAGTGACTCCCCCTGGGTTCGAATCCCCGCTCTGCCTCTTAAGTAGCTGTGTGACCTTAGGCAAGTACCTTCACCTCTCTGTGCCTGTGTCCACTGGTATAAAATAGTGATAGTACCTACCTCCTGGCGTTTTGTGAGGATCAGATGGAGAAAAATGGATGTAGAAGGAGCTGTCACAGTGTCTGGCACATAGTAAATGACCAGGGTAATCAGCATATTCAAGACCGTGAATATTGATTTTTTTTTTGAGAACTTATTCTGTGTAGAGGGCTATGCTATAAGCATTGTGATCTCCATGATGTCTTTCACCTTTAACCACGATTTACCAAACACTGTTGTCCCCATTTCAGAGATGAGAAAAGAAAGGCACAGGGAGGGGGGAACAGAATTTACAGGGATCCCAGGCTTCTCAGTTGCTTCTGCTACTCCTGCCTAGCAGGTGAATGCCAACGATAACAAACGGACTTTATATTTTTTGCCGGCGACAGACTCTTGTGTACCCCATGGATTTTTTTCTAGGTACAATTCCTTTTAATTTTTTTTAAATTTAAAAATATTTTCAGATTTTCTTCCAAGCTGCTACTCGCTAGACTAAAATCATGTCCAATGTTCCAGACCCAGAGGGGTAGGTTGAAAATCACACCGAACCTGGGAGGCTGTGTTTGAAGAAGCCTGCAGGGGGCAGCAGAGAGTAGTGTCTGGATGACTCGGGCCCCAACTCCAGGTTTTCCGGGTTCTTGCCACCTCCACAGCCTGGTTGGAAGAGGACAGGCCCAAAGAAGACCCAGAAGGGAATGTGAATGAAGACCCTATGTTGTAGGGTGAGGGGAGGAATTGGGGCAAGTGGCTTGAAGCTCCCGATTTTAGGGGTGGGCAGAACATTTGAAAGAAGGAAGTCAGCCTTCACTAATGTGCTTGGGGACAGGTGCTGTGGTTCCCTAAGAGTCAGGTTGTTCTTAACCCTGCATTTCCCCCTGTAGATTTGTTCTGTTTGACCTACAAGGTGTCCTTTTGTCTTTTTAATTCGTGGCCAGCATTCAAAAAACCAGGGCATTTCACATGAAGTTATGTTTTTCTGGTGACCTTTGTTGAAAAGGCCGGTGTTCCAGAAGCCCAGGGCTGCATTCCCACACGAGACCTTCAGCTGATCTGAGAAGCAGATGCTGTCTGGTTCACCACGGTCCCTACTGCTCCCTATTGTCTCTCACCCAGCCTGCTCTCTGAGAGGCCCCCGTTGGCATCCTCACCTGTGTCAACCTCAGTATTTTGTCACTGGGGAAATAAGAGACCCAGAGATGGGTGGTGATATGGCCCAAGGTGACTTCATGAGTTGGGGGTACCGTCAAGATTGGCACTCGGGTCCCTTGAACCTCAGTCTTGAGTCATAATCGTAATCATGGTCCTGGGGTGGCTGTGTTTCTTGGGGAACCCCTGATAGCACCATGCTGACCACAGCCTGATGAGGTCTTCTCCAGGGGTTCGATCTTACCAGGGGGCCAGGGTAAGGCAGAAGAGAGGCCTAAAGTATCTGAGAGGAGGGGCATAGCTGGGGGGAGTGGGGGTGGGTGGAGAAGAGCAGACACAAAGTATTTGGCCTGAGCAGGAGGGATGATAAAGGGATTGAGAGCAAGGCCCCTGGCATCAGTTTGAGTCCCGGCCCATCCACTTCCTAGCTGTGTGTCTTTGGGCAAGTCACTTTACCTCTCTGAACCCCCTTTCCTTGTCTGTAAAAGGAAGGTAACCATCGTACCTGCCTAAGAAGCATGTGGAAAGATGAAGTGAGATAATGCATATAAAACGCAGGGTGATGTTGAAAAAAAATGCCAATCTGATTATAGCAAATCAGTAAATGCAAATACTGATAATATCAGGATTGATATGATCCTTGTGTGTGAGATCCTGTGTGGGGGCTGGAGAAGGGTCTCTGAAGCCAACCCTGGTCCTTAAGGAACTCCCACTGAAGGTGTCTTCTCCCCCCACAGGTCCCCGTCATATAGTCCATCGCCTGTCAAGAAAAAGAAGAAGAAAGGCTCCAAAAAACATAAGCGACACAGGTATTGTCCTTCTGCCTCGGCAAACAGGTCTGCCCAGGTGGGCTGGGGGCTTGGGGTGAGAGTGGGGGGCGCAAAAAGTTCACTGGTGATAAGCTTATCATTTCACTTACGTAAGATACTCATCTGGGTGTTGGTATTTCCTTTTCCTTGTATAACTTGGACCTCTGGTTGCAAGGACCCAAGGCCCCCTAAAGCTAACTCTGGCAGGAAGGGGGTTTGTTTGATGATAAGGAGACAGGAATGTCTCAGGGACCAGCCAGGCCTCAGTGAGGATCTAGAACCAAGGAGTGGAGAGCTGGTAGCACCCAGGCAGGATACACAGTCCCTGTTCCACATGGGGAGACCCGGCTGCACCCTGTGCCCATCCCTCTGTGTGGCCGGCCCAGCCTCAAGAAGACACTGAAGCTCTCTGTCTTGTTTGTTCCTCATTCCAAATTCCCAAGGTCCAACTCTGTGGTTGGACCAACCTGTCCTCGAGGATGGGATCATGTAAAATGTGGCTTCTGGGATTGTCCACCCTTGGTGACAGTAGTTAAGGGGCCTTGTGAACTGGACACACATTCCAAAAGATGCCTCCTACACACACACACACACACACACACACACACACACACACACACACGGAAGAAAGGACTGAAGGATGTACACCAGAGGACTCAAATCTGTGGTCCATGGGCCAACTCAGCATTTTATAATTGGGAAATTGTGCAATGAAAAAAATCAGATTTTCCAGTTCCTCTGTAAAAATCAGCAGCTGTCTTCACTGGACTAATTTTCCCACAGGAAGCCATCAGCAAAGCTGAGGGGTTGCTGTGCATGTAGACAGAGTGTAGGTCTGAGCCCAAGCGTAGAGGGGCATGGGTCTGAGCCCACTGAGCCCCCCTCATTGAGGAAGCCCTCTGGGCCCCTGGGGGCAGGGAGTGTGAAATTCCCCACCTAAGTTGTTTGCTGTGTTTGGCTATGGCTGACAGGGGAAGAGTGGTGTGTGCTCTCTCTTTGCTCAGCCCTATCTTCCAAACTCCCTACATCAGCAGTGGATTACTTCTGCCCTTAGACAGTCACAGTGGAACAAAAGGTAAGGGTTCATTTGGGTTTTTCCTCTGCTTCTCACCCCTGGTTCAAAGTTCCCCCAAAGTGGCTTTTTCCAAGCCAGGGCTGTGGCCACGTCTTGGCCCTTGTTGCCAGAATGGTCTCAACTCAGTTTGGTTTCACCAGCTGTGTCCACTGCCCCAGACATTTCGACCGATGCTGAGTCTGTGCTTAACACAAGATATGGGCAAGCCGATGAGCAAAAGGTTGTTAATTTGGTGTTAGAAGCTTTTCCCAGTGGCCTGCCCCTGACTGGGACTGCCATCCTGTCACCTTCCTGTGCTGACCAATTGCTCCTAGTTTGGGGGACTTTTCCGTATCGGGATTGTGGAATTCAAGTGGCTTCTCCCTCAAGGGTTTCTCCTCATGAAAGAGAGACTGTGCCGGAAGGTTAGAAACAGGCTTTCTCTGACCCCCACAGCCAGCCCAGGAGGTGAAGGTGGAGAGGGAAGGAGGCCCATCAATGGGAGATTAGGAGGAAGAGATACTGTTGCTGATCCTTTCCAAAGCACCTGCTGAGCACTACCCTCCTTCTGGCCCAGCTTCTCCAAGCTCTTGAGATGTTGGGTTAATGATAGTTGACTGTTTTGGAGATAGGAGCAGGGGTGGGGGATGCATACAGATTTTTCTTTTTTCCCCTCAATTAGCATGGCTTCAGGGCTAAAAAAAAAAAAATCACATTTTTCACATCTATTTATTGAATACCCAATATGTGTCATGAATGAGGAATCTGGGCCCCGGGAACAGAGCAGTGACCAAAATCCAGCCCTCGCCCTTGAGTTGCTCACATTCTAGTCGGGGAGATGGATAATGTTAATAGGCAGAGGTGGGTGCTATAAGGCTAAGCTCAGAGCTCACCCAAGCTTGTGGGAGCAGAAAGTTGGCACCCAACCAGCCTGAGGGGATCAGAAAAAGCTACAAGGAGGGGATATCTGAATGGAACTCTGAAGAGTCTGCAGGAGTTACACACGAGCTGTGTGACCTTGGGCAACTTGAACTTCTCTGAGCTTCAGTGTCTATAAAATGGTTGTTAGTAGAACTTCGCAGGGTTTGGGTAAAGACTGAACGGGACTGTGTGTGAGAGACTTAGCACAAAGCCTGGCACGCAGTGAGAGTTCCACATATGGGAGCTGGGTTGTCCCTGACAACGAGGAGGATGGTGAGGAAGAATCCACCACTAGGGAGAGAGAGGTGAAGGTGAGGCGGGGTTTCGGGGAGGAGGCAGAGGACCCCCCTATATCCCCCACACCCACCCCCATCCGAGACGGGCTCATGGACAATTGGGGTGAGGATCGAAGCACTGGTCGTTTAGACTGGAAATTCAAAATGCAAACTAATGTCTCCCATATGGTCTTTGAAATCGGAGGGGGTCCCGACCGACCTCATGTAGCATGATCACACACGCACTGATGACATTTGTCCCAGGAAAGAAACCCTCAGCTCACCTATGTCTATTGTCTTCTTTCCCTCTTATCTTCCCCCTGTCCCTTTCTTCCTTCCTCCTCACTCCCTTCCCGCCCTCCCTCTCTCTCTTCTTTTTAATTCCTTTAATCAGGTCGTTCTCCAAGAAGAGAAGGCACAGGTAAGAATCCTTTCACCTCTGGCTGCTTGCTTCTCTTTCCTGCTTTCCTAAGGAGGTTTTAGGCAGCTTCTGGGGTGTGCTCTTGGTCATGCCCCTTTCATCTTCCTGGGCCTCGGTTTCCTCCAAGGTGAAGGCCTTGGGCTGGTTTCCCTGAGAGTTCCCAGGCAGCTTTTGACTTCAGTGAGGCCAGATGGCTGCTCCTCGACCAGCCCCCACTGCTGCCCCTCCCTGGAAAGTCTCACTACCCTGGTCAGAGTCCGTTCGTTTTGGCACTCGTTGAAATCCTGGATTGGGGCATGTCGGGAAACCTCAGCACCCTGATCCCGCCAAAGCCTCCCCAGATCCTAGCCAAGGGACAGAAGCCAAGTCCACCTGTACTGGAAACACTAAGTGAGCACAAATAGAGCTGTCGCCGACAGGGTCCTCGCTGTAAATTGGATCCTGCACTGAGCCCCTGCTCTGGGTGTGTGCCTGTCGAATCTCCGCTGATCTCCCTCATAACCCGGTACAGTGGATATGTTTATTCTCCCATTTTACAGATGAAGAAACTGAGATTCAGGCAGGAGGTGTGACAGGCGTGTCCACAGACACGGTCAGGTGGCAAGCCCAGATCTGTCAGACAGGGGATCGGGACTCCCTACCGTGGTGTCTTAAGTAACAGCCAAATCTGGAGCAATTGTCAGAGTGCAGAGTCCTTCTGTTTATCCAGTTAACAGGTAGAGAGCGATTACCAGTGTCATCCATCCCCTCAGCCCAGCAGCCCGAGCAATGGCCCCACTTCACGGTCAAGAAAACCAGGTCTTCCAGAGGACAGGTAACTTGCCTCAGGTCATGCAGCGACTGAGCGGCAGAGCTGGGGCGCAAACCTGGATCTTTCAGTGAGGTCCTGGGCTCTTCCACGGCCCAGGCTGAGTCTCAAGCGTGGAGAGAAATCGCACAGTTAACGCCGAGGTGCCATTTCAGTTGGATGAGTTGGATGAGTTTGGATGAGGTTTCCCCCTCTCCAGGACCGGGGCCCATCGTCCATTCTTGGTGACCCTCTGAAGCCAGTACTACCAAACAGCATTCACCCTCTGGGGCCTCTAGCTGATAATGCTGGGACCCCGACTCATCACTGTTCATTGGACCCATACCCCAGCCCTCTGACTTAAAAAACAAAAATGGTTAGTTAAATATCCATGAGCAGAACATTTCTGAATCTGCCAAGCTTCATGAAGCTTCAGAGTATCTCCCTGCATATACCATTCTTCTCTCTTACAAATTGATCGAACATCAGTCAACAGCATGGGCTCTGGGGATCCATGGTCTAGGGCCACATCCCAGCTCCCCTGTATGATCCTGGCCAAGTTTCTTAGCCTAGCTGAGGCTCAGTTTCCCCATCTGTAAAATAAGTACGCGTTAAACGTGCCTCTTCCCATAGGTTGCAGGGAGAATAAAATAAGATTGCTAACAAAAAGTATTTAGCAGAGTATTCCTTATAAGAAGTCCTCGAAAAATGACAGGTATCACCTTTATTTACCACTGTTCTTACTAAGCTGCCAAAGCTTGCCGTGGCCCCCGACGCACCCCATTCTCAATCCGTTTGTGGGTCCCTGTCTGTAGGTGCACCTGCTGGGTGAAAAAGTCAGCGTGGTGACTGCCCTGGTCTTGGAAATGATTAGCATGTGTCCCCACACTGCCCGGATCTGGTGGTCACTGTGTGTTAAGCATTTTAACTACTTGTTTCTTTTTACCTGTAACTGGAATTTTGCATCTTTCAATTAATTGGCCATTTCTCCTTTAGCTCCTCCAGCCCAAAAAGCAGAAGGAGGGATGAGAAGAGGCACAAAAAACAGTAAGTAGAGACCACCTGGAAAATTCTCTCCAGTTTGGGGGAGTAGGGGAACCCGGCCTCGTAACTGCTGGAGTGTTGGAGTTGCCATATAAACAGGGAGAGGGAGAAGGGGGTGCGTGAGAGGAACAGAGGCAGGAAGAGGCGGAGCCAAGATGCACGGTAGTTGTGGGTCTGGGTATGTGTGAGCGCACAAGGCCGTGTATACGACGTGTCTGTGCATGCATTTGTGTGAGCATGAAAGTGAGTGCCGTGCATCTGTGTGCCTGGCGGGCACCATGTATATATTTTTCTGAAGGATGTCTATGTGTAGCATACACCTTGTTTGTAGATCTCTGTACATTTTTCCATCCTGCAAACATTTGTGTGACCGTGGGTACGAATGTATGCCGGGGGGGTAGTGTGGGTATGGTATGTACTTGTGTTCACACGAATGCATTCTCTAGGCTCCTGCTTGTGCGAGCATGAAGGTAGACAGTGTGCACGGAGGTGCTGATTTTCTGCACGCTGAGTGCGCCCTGCTTACTTACCTGTGTTACGCCTAGGGAGGGTTGGTGTGGGGGTGGCTTTTCCCTGTGCACACAGGTGTGCCACGTGTGCGTGAGTGGTGATGGGGGCATGATCACGTGTGAGCACAGGCGTGAGCGTGCATGTGAGTCCGAGCCTTGGCTGATGGCAGTGAAGCTCCTACCCCTGGTCTCGGGGCCCCAGCTGGTTCATGGTTTATGGCTGGTAGTAGAAATTCAAATCAGCTAGCACTGTCTGCAGAGTTCAGTTCCCAGACAAATTAAAAGTAAATGTGGTTACAACCCACCTACTTTATACCCTGCAAATGTTAGTGCATGTGTTTTCCAATCAACTAATATTTTATCTCCCGCCAAGAAGCTTCTAAAGTGAGGATCAAAGGCAATAGGATGAAAGGCGGTTGGCTGTTGGGGAGGGAAAAGAGGAGGCAGGGATGCAGAGGGAGGGCACCCCGCTTTGGTGCCCGAAGGGTCACTTCATCCAAGGTCAGTGCAAAGGAGGACATTTGAGCCATCACCACAGGGGGCCTGGGGAATGCTTCAGAAGGAAGCAGTAGACTTTGAATTAGCTCAGGGAACAACTTCCCTATCATCAAGCTTGTTCAATTCGAGTCAAAAGACAATTATTGGTCATATGTATTGGGTGTGCATTCACGCTAAGTGCAGACAGGGTGCATATTCTCAGAGACCTCTGCATTACTTGTCCAGTGGGGCTGCAGTATAGACAGAGCCGGGGGAGAGACTCAGACTCTGAGAGCACAGGCGGAGGGGGCGGGGTGTGGGGGGGGAAATCATCACGGAGGCAGGGACTGCCTGCTTGAGGGCAGCAACGTGGCCACCCTCCCTGGTGCCAAGAGCTGGAGGAGTCCCAGAAATTGCTAGGTTATGCAAGCCAAAAGACAAGAGTCAGGAGAGGAAAGACCAAGAAAAACAAGGTGCCGCTAGGATAAAGGATGGTTCTTCTTGCCAAGTCCCATGATCAGGGCTGCTTCTAAACAAGTGATCACTGGAGAGATTTAGCCTCCTTGGATTTGACATCCCTTAATAAAGCCCTAATACATGGCAGGCCCTGGGCTGGGCCCGAGGACAGAGAGTAGCCAAATATTCTTCTGGATTCAAGGAGCTCACAGTTCCCAGCGGGACACAGGAGACACAGGACAGGTCACGGCACAGCGGGGACCACCGGGAGCCCAGGTGGTGTTGGAGAGAGGGCTTGGTGGTGAGCAGGGGCGTCCGACAGGAGGAAGTGTCTAGATTGAGGGTAAGGATGGAGGTAACCATTCTAGGCTGCAGGTTAGGCAAGTGGTTTAAACTCGGTGCCTCAGTTTCTTCATCTGGGAAATAAGAGAACCTACTTCATAGGCTGTTGAGAGGAAGAGATGGGTCCACCTAAGAAAAATACTTAGGCTATGGTGCCTGGCAGGCAGTATGTGTTAGATACGGGCTACCTGTCATCATCACCATCACAAGGGCATCATGAACTGGGACATAGATGAGCCAGAATACAAGCAGTTCAGACTTGCTTAAGTCCATCCAGCCAGGGCAGGAGATGTCACACAAGGAAGCTAGAGAGCTTCGTGGGGGCTGACTCCTCCGGGGTGCGTGGGGTTCAAGATGAGAGTGCAGGATTTGACATGAGGGCAACGGGAAGGTTCTAAGCAGGGAAGGAATATGGTCTGCTTATCACATTGACAAGAATCCCTGAGTCCTTTATTGGGATAACGAGACTGCCTCCCGACAGAGCCCTCTCTAACTCCCACTGGCTTCCTGCCTTGGCCCAAACCATTGACATTCCTTGTACATCCTCAGTGACCACTGCCTCTGCGGCTACTACTTCTAAGTCCTTATTATCATTTAGGGGGAAACTGAAGTAATCTGTAATAATACCATTATTAGTGGTAGGGGTAGTTGTTCCTTGTGGTTAGAATTTTTGTTGCCAGCGATGTTTGTAACTCTGAAAGTAGGCTTTTGACTCCATGTGAAAAAGCTGGGCTGAATTTTCCAGGTCTGAGGTTATAAATTGGCAGCCCAAAGGCCTCATTTACTCTACAAATGTGTTTTCTTTTCCCCTAAACAGTGTCTTTAAAAAAAAATAAAAAGAGCTTCCATTTAAAATAGAAATATTTTATATGAAAAAAGTCTGCGTTTCTACATTCATGTGAAGAGTTAGAAGGTCCAACAGCGTGCCAGTGTTCTGGAGGCACACCCACTTCTTTCCTGAGCTCTCGCCTGACTGATTCACACATTAGGGTAGCTGACTGAGATTGAGACCCCCTGCTTTCAGGGGGGGAGAGGTGACTAGTGGGGGTGACACTCCTGTCCACGTGTGCTCGCCATCAGGGCTGCCCCGGCAGGGTGGGAGTCTGAGCCGCCTGGGCCGCTCCTCCACAGGAACCCCTGCCGCTCAGTGGTGCTCTGTATGGCTGGTCGGAGCCCCTGAATGCCCAGGGGGAAGGGCTGGGGTGATGCGGGGTGGGGGGCAGGCAGGAGGAGATGCCTAACTCTCGAGGGACAGTGACTTGGATGCAAGAGGATGATGTGTGTCACAAGATCGAAATCTCTCTCTCCCTCTCTCCCTCCCTCTTACCCTCCCCTCTCTCCCCCTCCCCATCACCCCCTCCAAGATCACGAAGCCGGCCCCGAAAATCTCACCGTCACCGTCATCACCATTATCCTTCCCGGTCCCAGAGCTCCGAGTCCCACTCCTCAAGCTGTGAGAGCAGGTAACCCCTTCTCCCCGGGGGAGTCGCCCTGGGGGGCAGCCCCTACCTGGCCGTGTCAGCACCGCCCTGTAGAGAAAAGGGGACCCCAGCCGCCTCCGTGTCTAGGAACAACAGCAGTGGCGCGTGCGCACACGTGTGCTTCCCAGGGCCCGCCCCCTCCGTCGCCACCATGTGGGTTGTGAGCCCCCTCCCTGCATCACCCACACAATTCCCTCGACTACCCTATGAAGTAGCTACTATTGCTCTCCCCCATTGTAAAGATGAGGACGCTGAGGCACAGGGAGCTTAAGGACCTTGTTAGTCGTGTAGCTGCCAAGCGACAGAGGTAGGATTGAACTGGGGAGTCCGGCTCTGGACTTGGCCCTCTCACTAAGGGTTGCTCTAAGCACAGAGAGGCTGAGCAACCTACGAAAGGCCACACAGCCCAAGTCCCAAGTTCTGAGGCCCTTCCAAGTCCGGTTTCTCCTAACTTGGACCTGCTCTGGGCCGACACATCGGCTGTGCAGGTTGGAGAAGGGGGAGGAGGGCTCTCTCGTGGACGAGACGAAGAATAAGAACGAAGAGTGGGACTTTGTGGATGTTGATGTTTGAAACCGGCACTGTCCAGCAGACACAGCAAGGCCAGCTTCCGGATGTCCGAGGCTGCTTCATCCTTCATCCTTCATCCTTCCTCAAGTGCGTCCCACACACCTGGCTCTGTGTTCGTGTTGCCTGAGGAGATTTAAAAATGCCACTGTCCTGGTCCCACTGCATCTCAGTTAAACCAGTGTCTGGAGGAAGAAGGAGGAGGAGAGGGGGATTATTTTTTGAAGTCTTACTTGGTGCTACAGTTTCAAATACATTTTCCCTCTTGATCATCCCAAGAACACCATGAGGTAGACTGGGGCTGCACTTTGCAGTCACCTTGGAAGAATTTTAAAATACCGATTCCCAGATCCCACCCTTTAGGTGTTCTGATCTTGTTCGGATGAGGTAGGGCCGGGGCGGCGAGATTTTTAAATCTTCCCCCGTGATGCCAGTGTGGAGCCAAGCGTGAGAAGTATTTGAAGAAGAGGAAAACGTCCCTGACACGTGCTGCTATCACTCATAGGCCTCGGTGTTCCCACTGGACACCAACAACTATAAAGAGCGTAGGCATCAGGCAAGGTTGCTCTGTGACCCTGAGTGATCAAGACAAAAACAAAACCCCTCGGTAGTAAGGTCAGAGCCCCAAAGACACAGGAACCTTGTCCAAAACACAAAAGTGACCCAGCATCTCTCTATCCTGGCTAACACGAGGGACTGCTATTTCCTGACCAGCTAGAGCTTTGGCCTTGGTCTAGGCCCCAAGATTTATGAAGATACGCAGTGAGAGCCTCACCTCCACTTAATGCTAGCATCCAATCCAGAACAAAGCCCCAGTTCCTTAAACGCTCCTTAAAGTCACCTGCCACCTGCCCATAATAGGCTCTTTCCATCACTCTCGTACAGAGACGTTCTCCGCTTCCTGTGGCGCATGCTCTCCCTCGCTGCAAGGAGCCATAAACATGCTTTTTCAGCCACAGGCATGCTCCTGCTGGCCTTTGTCTGGAGGGCATCGGTTCACTGAGCTTAGTTGCATTACTGATGTGGTACAGCCGAGAAAAGTGCATCATGGTGAGCAGAGGCATCTGAGCAAGGTCGCAGGGACTGGCAGGGCTCAGACAGAGCCCTTGACCTCCAGCCCATGCTGAATCAGCTCTCAGCAGCTCAGCCCCATGGGCCCGGGGCCAGAGGATGGTGCAGAGAGCTTGCTGCCCTCTGTCCTGCCCTCTGCCTTACCGCTTAGGGAGATGGCTCCCACTGCAGAGCCCAGCCTCGGTCCCCTTCTTATGTCCCCTCTTCTGGGGTGTTGCTGCTTGAGCTCCCCAGTGCCTGTTGGGCTGAGGGACACTCCAGGGGGCATCGAAGCAACCTGAGAGCCAGCCCTGGGGCCACACACCCAATAAAAATGATCTGGAGGCCCCAGAGCACAGAGGACATTCCAGAGCATGACCAAGAGGCATCGGTCCCTCTTGGGGCAGAAAACCCTGCCCTGGTCCTGGTTCTGCCACTCGCAAGCTGTGTGACTTCCGGCGGGTCCCCAAATAGCTCTGAGCCTCAGGGTCCTCATCTGTAAAATGGGAACTACCTGCCTTGTTTGTGTTGTGTCTTCAAATTGGAGAGAGGACTGAGAAGAGGGGATTGCAAATCAATAGGGTGTTACCTTTATTACTCCTGTGGCCCAGAGCTAATAGGCCAGCAGAGTCTAAAATCTACCCTTTCTGAAGAGTCAGAGATTCCTTCACTTTCCGCAGCAGACAGGGCAGCCCAGGGTCTGACAGGCTTACAGAAGGCCTCCTTGTTATTTTTGTCAGCTACTCTTTTTTCAAAAGTTTTGGGTGACAGTCACTGGGATGCGTCTATTTTACAGATGGTCAAGTCACATACTTGAAGACATACAGATAGGCGCCATCATATTTATAGACAAACACAGATGGACACACCCAGACATACACACAGTCACGTACAAACATACCGACAGACAGTCCCGCACACCCAGGACATGAAAGCAAATCAGGCTGGGACATTTTCTGTCTTCCCAGCTGCCTTCCCAGCACCCCGTACATTTGTCCAATGAACAAATGAGAGAAGGAATGAATGAACGAATGAGCAGGTCGGGGGCGGGTGGATGGAGAGATGGATGGAAGCACGTGTCGTTTATGTAAGCAGTACCAGACACATCCTATAGCCCTCCGATCCTGTGGGCCCTGCAGCCACCCCTCTGCCACACTCCCCTTCCGAAGACCCTCTCATCTCTCTCTCCCGCTCCCCCAGGCACCGCGGCAGGTCCCCCGAGGAAGGGCGGAAGTCCCGCCGAAGGCACTCCCACCGCTGCTCCAGGACCCTCGGCAAGGCCAGCCCCGAGGCCCGCTCCAGCCACCCGCCCAGCCAGCCCCTCCGGATGCTCAGCCTCCTGTCGGCCAGGGGTGTAGTAAGTATTCCACACGGCCTCCTCGGCCAGTCTTGGCCGTGACCCTCGGGGCAAGGTGAAGGCGCAAGTTCAGGGCAGTGTATGGCACATTTTAACTCAGTTTTGGGCAAACACCCCACTGGCTTTCAGACCTCCTTATTGATTAACAAAGTGGTCATTCACCAACCTTTGGCAGCACTCGGTTGGGGGGAGGAAGCAAAGCTAAAGTACCCAGGCTTTCTATTGGGGGGAGCACTGAAAAATACACGCTGGTCTCCAGAGTGACATCTGCAAGGAATGCATGTGTGAGACACCGTAGCAGGTTTCTTTGGGGAGGAAGGAAGAGAGGGGGGTCTTTGATGTAGCCCAGGCATTCCAGCTTTCCAGTGAAGTCTGCATCTTTGATGCCAGCTAGGCTGCAGCTTTGATTAGTGGCCAGGATTTGATTTCACCTATAGAAACACGGCCTTGAATGTATATGAGAATTTTCCTTCACGGAGCTCCTAGCGCTTGATCTGTGTCCTCTCGTGTGTCCACATAAGGTCTCAGGGCATCGAGGGCGTGACTGCTCTCCCTGGTCCCTTCCACAGATGGGACAGAAAAACCAAGGCTCAGAGAGGTTACGAATCTGATTTAGCAGCCCAGCATTGAATGGAATCACGTGACGCTCCCTCAGGTCCACAAGGAGGAGCTGGAATATGACTTCAGACAGTCTGATGCCAGGAAGTTTCCTGAGCAAGGGATTCAGGGTTGGAGCTGAACTCAAGTCCTAGCTTTGCTACTCCCTAGTTGTGTGGCTTTGGGCAAGTCACTTCCCTTCTTTGAAACTCAGTGTTCTCATTGGTAAACTTGCAATAATACCACTTTCATGTGGGATTGGTGGGGACATCCAATAAGATAAAGTACGCGAAGGCCTTTTGTTGATGCTAAAGGGACAGATACACAAGCAGGAAGAGATGCAACATGGACGTAGCCTACAACCACGGCTGGCCGCTGGAAGGGACCTATCTCCTCTAGCTATGGGTGAAGCTGTAAATTTCAGGCGAGATGAAAGTGTGGAGAAGCTCGGGGTGCTTGCAGGAAGGTCAAGGAAGGGAAGGCAATGATAAACACTAGTTGGGCCTGGTTGATGCAAGTTATCACCTGCAGTGCATTCTGGGAAACTCTTCTTTACCATTCAAGGCACAAGGTCTCATTTTGTGCCAGCAAGGTCTCATTTTGTGCCAGCAAGGTCTCATTTTGCCCAAATCCTCTGCCTAGCATTCACAACGTTCCCAGGGCCCCCCTTTGAAGAGGTGTCTTTGGTTGCTGAGTATTTTGCAGATGGAAAATGCCCACCTGCATTCCCCCTCCGCTGATGTCCTATAAAAGGTCTTCCCAGCATGGCAAAGAGTCTGGAGGCCTGGGTGGGAGTCTTGGCTTGGCTGGACAATTCCTTCTACCCCTCCCGGCTTCAACTTCCTCACCTGGAAAATGGGCATGATGATCTCATTTGTCTCCCAGGAGAATTGTTGCGAAGTTAGAAATCAATTCAATATAAGAGCCGTAAGAGATAGAAGAAGCAAGTCAAAATCACCCAGTCTTTCTGGTCCTGGTATTTGTGGTAGCCCATTTGGTGGCCCCCACTGACCCTCACTAAAAAGAGCCATTGCGAGCAGCTGGCTTATTTGATCACCTGCCTGGGATGGTTCCCTCACAGGCTAGGTCTGTCAAGATGTTGCGAAAGGCTGGATGTTCCTAAAAAAAAAAAAAAAAGTGGGGTCCTCCCACACCAGCTGGTGAGGAACCAGACTGGCTGTTGGTTCTTGAAGACTGAGTGTCTCCCATGGGCCCAACCCCTATCAGAAGAGCTGAGAGCTCACCCGTACCTAGAAGGGACAGGCGTTAAGAGCTCACCCAGCTCAGTGCCCTGATTCCAAGAAGAGAGACTAAGAACCTGAGACTCAGAGAAGAGAAATGACTTCCATGGGCTGTGTCAAGTTGGAGTCTTTCAAAACACAGGGCTATGATGATGCCGTCAAATCCTAGCTCTGAGATACGGAGAGTTACTTAAACCTTTCTGAATCCTTGTTTCCTCATCTGTTAAAAAAAAATGCAGAGAATAAGGCTCTTCTTCAAAAACCCTGCTGTGTGGACAAAAGCAAAGTAATATTGTAAACGGTTGACCCCGGTGCTTGGCACAGGGGAAGAACTCAGCAAATATTCGTGGGTGTTACGACTACAGCATCCTGGGTGCTCCCTCTACACTTACCAACCTTGGGACCTTGAGCAAGTTCCATAAACTTTCTGTGCCTCAGTTTTCTGTAAATCTGCAAAACAATGAGACCTGCCTCCTAGGAGGTATGGTATGGAGATTCAGGGACTTGATGTAAGTAAAGGTTTTATTTTTTTTAATATTTTTATTTATTTATTTGACAGAGAGAGAGAGATAGTGAGAGCAGGAACACAAGCAGGGGGAGTGGGGGAGGGAGAAGCAGGCTTCCCGCGGAGCAGGGAGCCTGATGCGGGGCTCGATCGCAGGACCCTGGGACCATGACCTGAGCTGAAGGCAGACGCTTAAGGACTGAGCCACACAGGCGCCCCTAAGTAAAGGTTTTAGATTGCAACAGACAAGTGGGGTAATGCTACTTCGTGCTCGCTGCTAATAATAGTAGTGGCAGCAGTGAGAGTAACCATGGATATAGCAATGGGGTAGCGACGATATTTAGCAGCACTGGTGATAGTAGGAGTAGTCGTAGTAATAATAGTACCGCTCCAGGTCCAGGCTAGCCCGTGCATGACTTGGGACCAGAGCCAGCCCCCCTCCCCTGCTTCCTCTGCTCTCAGCTTCCTCTGTCCTAAATAGCAGCTGCAGCCCTAATGGCCCACCCCACCCCATTCCTGGTTGCCTGACTTCTGGGGGCATCCGATACCCCCAAGTCTAGCTCTCTGAGTGCCCTCCACGCTAGACCCTTTCTCCTCTTCTCTCCTGCAAAAGGCAGAGAGGGACAAAGGTGCCAGGTTGGACCCCAGGTTTTCTGAGAGTCCTGGCCCAGGATTTTCCTGAGCTCCCTCTTAAAGAGAACAGCAGAGTCACTGCACCTGAAGAATCCATCCAATCACTCATTCAAATCTACCAATTATCTCCCAAAACATCTATCAAGGGTCAGCTCCGCCATGGTTCTCGGGATTCGGTGAATATAGAACAGTCTGTGCCTTCTTGAGAGGGAGACAGACAAGGTAAAAACTGTAAAAGACAAGACACAACAATTAATGCAGAGATGCTGAGATGGGGTGGGAGGTGGCAGGCAGGGAAGGGATGCTAGGGTTAGCATTAGGTTGGGGCAGAGAAGGCAACAACTGAGAAACTAGTGGTGAGCAAGAATCAGCCAAAGGAAACGGGAAACAAAGACTGGAGTCGGGGATGGAAGCAGAATTCCAGGGCAAGAGTTGGGGTTCTGGGCATAAGCAGGAGCCTGAGTGTGGAGGGTCTTCTATGCCCTGGCTCCCGCCACACTCCACTGCAGGTATTTCCAACGCACGGCTCTTTAAAAAATCAAGGATAGGCACATTACATCAGGGGGCATATCTGCATATATGAATATGCAAATTTAGGGTTGTGTCTTATTGAAATCCTAGTTGGTGAGCTAAAGATAACCTGAAGCCCTCTTGCTCAGTCAGAGCCCAAATCCAAATGGAGGGTCCCAAGGAGATGATTTAGGGACCCTTCACAGCCTCATTCATGTTCTTTATCTCCATTCAACCATCTTTGTTCAAGGCATCAGGGAGACAGAGTTGAATAAAACACTCTTCCTGAACTCCAGGGCTCAGTCTGGTAGTCAACAGAAGACTGCACTACAGTGAGATAAGTGTTGTAATTAGGGCTGAGATTGAGTCAGTGAGCACCAGTTCCTCCTCGGTTGTCGAATATTCAAAAACTTGCACACTAGTTGGTTAATAGACCCTGTCACCACTCTATCCCCCCGAGTCACCAAAGCCACCCCCTCCCTCCCCTGGTACCTGGGGACCTCCTCACAGTTCAGCAACTAGAGTGATACCTGACAGCCGTCAGCACCAAGGCCAGCTACCTTCAGATGAGGCAATGTCCACACCCCACCAGTTGCTAAATATCCAGACCGTCAGCCCTGGTGGTGATGGAAGTCAGTACAATGTCGAGTAAGACCGCAGAGAAGGGACAAGACAGTGCTGTCTTGGCACCTGAGAGGGCTTTACAAATAAGGGAACATTTGAGCTGGGCTTTAAAGGATGGGTTCCCCAAATTGAGATGACTGATGAATAAAGGGAGGGGGAGATACCTCTATGTACCAGGCACTTTTGTTAGAACAAAAGTAAAGCAGCATTAGAAACTATCCCATACTCTACCCAGTTGTTGTTGTTATTGCCATTTGATCCACAAAGCAGTTCTTCGAGATAGATGCAATTATTATCACCATTTTTCAGACAGGAAAACAGGCTCACAGAGCTGAAGTGACTTCGGTAGGTGGCCCAGTTGGGAGGAAGGGGAGCTGGTATGAATTGTGGCTTGTGTCTCAGAAGCTGACTCTGATAGCCAGAGTACCGACTGGATGACAGAGGGGTTGGTGGCACCAAGGTTTGGCCAAGCCTTTTCCCTGTTGGCATGGGGCTCTCTGTCAAGTCTGCTCTCCCTGGAGAGGGAATCTGGGAGAGGGCTCATCACAACGGAAGCTAGACCAAGGAGAAGCACAGGCTCCTTTTCTCCTCCTTCTGCCTCCAGCTTGGGCCAATAGTTGCCATGTATTCTTTACCAACAAAAACCTGCAGATGCCATGACAAGAAGAGGAAGAAGGAGGAGGAGGAGAAGGGCAGGAAGTAGAAGAGAAAGAAGAGGAAGGAGAAACAGAAGAGGAAGAAGAAGGAGAGGAACAAGAACAAGAAGGAGAGCAGAAAGAACCTGGGGCCCATAAAGGAGGGCCTCATGAAATCTGTCAACAGGAGGAGGCAGTAGAGTGCAGTGATGAAGTCACGGGCTTTGGGGCAGATCTATAGACTCTGGGGTTCTT